CAGTTGCAAATAGACCATCCATTGGATCGTGTTGTTTGGCAATGATAGAAAATGGTATTTTTTTTACAATTTTTCACAATAATTTTGATCCGCTTCAATATTAGTATATGTTGATCACAATATATTTATTGAGAATGTCATATGATGTAGGGTATTGAGAGGACGTCATGTAAGTAAATACTTCATATAAAGTAATAATACAGATTACAACTCACGCAAAGCACTGTAGTAAACACAGATGTTGAAACCTGAAGAAGCTCTCGCTCCACCCAAGGAGGACCCGCATAATGGCTCACGCCCTCTCGCCTCCTCGCCCCTGCTTCATTCCGCCAACCCATGCCACGCCCTCGCTCCACCTCCGCCGGACGCCGGAGTAGAGTTTCACGGCGGGGTATCGCGTCGGTTGCAGCTACGGTTTCCAGCGGAGCCAACGCTTTAGCCACGATGAGTGTCGTTGCTCACATTACACGTTTCGTCGCATTACTTTGCCTGCATCCTCCCTTCTTCGTTTCTTCGCCCTCACCGTTCTTATCCCCTGCCTTCTCGTCAATATCAACATTTTTAGCTTCTCCCTCGCTCTAATGCAATTGGAGATGCCAAGGATGATGATAGGGGTTGCAGGTGAATGTATGTTTGCCGTTAAATGTATCAAGGGAGAGGAAGGAAAAGAGTAGAAAGGCGACACGCTGTTTTGGTGAGCTGCGTTATGCGAGAAGCAAACATCCATGTTTCAGAGTGGATTCATATCCACGATTTTTCAATTTGAGACAGTGACGTTTGAAACTACCTCATCTCGCAACTAGGCTGGCTGACAAGTGACAGACTTACTTCTGAGCGTTGACGAGAGAGGAGTCTTAGGTCTTTATCCGCTCCTTTTTTTCCAGAGCGGTGTTTAGCCTCGTCCTTCCATTTTCTGCGCGACCACCATCTCTATCTGCTGATAGAGATGCCGATAAAGACGATAGAGATAGAGATGGTCATGTGACATGAATAATGAGAAGATAGTTCAGGTGAGATTCGGGGCGAAAACACACCTTAGCGGGACAAGTACAGTGTTAAAGTTCAAAAATGTTGTTTTCCAAAAATACAGAAAATGAACTGGAGTCACAATATCCAATAGATGAGCGTTACAGCTGAGTCGTCGTAAAATACAATTTTCCAAAGTCCGAAAGAATAGCTGAAGTCAAGAGTTTATAATGTACAATACAAAGCGCAATGACGATTGACTGACTGACTGAATTCGAAATTGTAAGTGGGTCGCCCATGTCTGGGCGGCTCCTTAAGATGTCGCCTCAGGGGGGTATTCTGCTGCTTTCCTCTCCGGCTGCAGGGAGGGGGTAGGGTCTTTGCTGAATGGAGTGTTCCGCACAGCCGGCTAGGTGTGGGCGGTGACGCTGCTGCATTCTGGTGGCCACCCGGGCACTTACATTGAATGCACTTTATGTAGTGTTCAGGGCTCGCCAAATACTACCTAAACTTATCGCGGAAGGAGTCTGTCGACACTGGCTGGCTGGGTGGCGAAATTAACAGCAAACTTCTTCTCTTACTTCAAATGTCCTCGTGCGCGTCGTTTGTTCTGTTCCAGTGGCGCTAAGAGGACGCCGGCAGCCTTTGGGCATTGCACTGCGCTCGCTTTGTGCTCGCCCTTGAGCGGCGTGGCCCACCGCGTGCTGCCGCCCTTGTCGCCCATTTGCATGGGGCGCCGATATTTCACCCGCGGGCGTTGGGTCCCGCCCCCTTCTGAGGGCGAAGGAGCGAATTCGTTTACCGCCCCTCACCCGCCTTACGAACTCGCAGGAGTTGATGGCGTGTTAATGCCCGCCGTACCGTTGCTATTATTACACTCCACTTGCTGCGAGTGGAAAACGTACTAAAGGCGTTGATGGTGTGTGTCTGTGGCGTGCAAAATTACTTTCTCAGATGTAATGTGCATATTTATCTCGAAGTTCTGTTTCGTATAAAGGGAAGCAATATGAAACCAAAGTACTTTTGGTGCCACGTACACATAAGTAATTTTTACATCGTAATAGAAAATTCACTTAGCAACTTTTCAAAATAATACAACTTTTATTTTCGTTTTTCTGATTGTTTAAATGTATTTATTCTAATAAAGCTATTGCATGTGTCTTTTTTGTATGTTTCAATGGAGTGTTAGTACAGCATTACAGAATATTTTTATATTGTGAGTAATGTCAAACATGCATCTAAAGTAATGTTCTAAATCGTTGCGAATTTAACTATTTCTTTATAACTGAAACTTTCGATTGGTAATGAACACTGAAGATCTTTATGGCATGTCGAACTTAGTAGCTGAATCAGTAAAACTGTTACCTACTGCTTGCTTCTTTTTTAACTTTATTTTTTCCTGTTCTGCACCATTTTAGGTTATTTAAATGACCGATTATTGTAGTCATAAAGTGAATCACCTTTATTGCAGAGCTCACTTCAGTAGTGACTTGTTTTTTACTACAACTGTTTTGCCAAAGCAAAAAGATGAAAGTGTAGAAAGTCTTGTGCAAACGGCGTTAATAAAATTCGCCAAATCCAATTCATAATGTATTTTGTTCAAATACTTCGTAGATATTAATTTTGGCACTTCCAGAGAGGTTTCCAGTCTTAATACCTTTGGTTCGAGTCCTAGAAAAGACTAACACAGCGACAGTTCACGTTCAGGAGGAGGGATAATGTGCCTAGTTACTGATACCTTCGTTCAACGCTTAATAACTGACAATTCCACCGTCGGAAATTTTCGATCAGCCGCTCCTAATACCCCGCGTCAGCAATCCCCTCCCCCCGCTGCGGTGACGTATGTGACGATCAGCCAGCACGCGGGGCGAGGGAAGGAGGGGCATAAAATTTTATGACGCCCATTTTCGTTCGTGTAGTACCGCTTAATGCGATGGCGCGCGCCCGACAAAAAGGCTGACCGGTTTCGCTGTTTAGCGGCGGCGAAAATAAAAGTCTCTGCGCTTCGCCTCGCCGCGATTGTTTCGCCGACGCGGAGCGGCGCGGCGCGGTGCGCTCAGCGCGGCATGTCGCCGCGACCGATTGAGCGCCGGCCGTGGTAATTGGGTGAAGGTCCCGGCGAGGACGCGCGCTGATTCACTACCTGAAGCTCACCCGACGGCACTCGGGAATGCTCACCGATGGCAATGCATGTTCTTATTTTATTCAGCGTATGATTGGTCGTGTTGCCTCATGGCACCACCTACATCTCAGATAAATTAAGTCTCAATATATGAACACTTACTGACAGGCTATAATACGTGTTGATATCATGTTCATAACCTTTGCCAAAGCCGAATCTTATCGCCCCCGCGACTTCGTGAGAGTCAGATGAGTGGCAACGCTGAACCCTGGCTGTGAGAAAGTAAACAAATCCTCGCAAGCTGATTGCTTCAGAACAGGAACAAGACGCACCACAGTACGTGACGACGGAACTGTCAGAGTCGCTGCCTGATGAGTTAATAAGAGTAATAAAGTTCATGTAGATATAAAAAATTGAATCTCACCGGAATAGCCAAAAATGACTTATATTCAGGGGAGACGGGAGAGAACGCTTTTCTCAGATTTAATATACAAACTTTAAAATTTCAGTATGTTAAATGAGGTATAAAAGCTGAAATGCCCTGGAAAAAGAATGCATGAGACGGACGTCGCCTGTCAGACTATCACTGTTCAAATGAGCAGTTTTGGATATTTTTTCCGGGACCGGCTGTAAAGGTTCCTGGCTCAAATATGCTGAATCATATCCTAATAGAAAAATTCTTTTAAATTTGTCTCTCTGCCTAATATTAGGATTGTTCATACATGGCGACTTATTATTAGTGAGTTAATGGAGGAATTTCACTTTTTCATTGACTTAATTGTAATATATCTTTTTCGTCTTCTAAGTAAACAGGGTTTAATTGTTAGCGTGTCCCTTCGCTAAATGTCTATCAAGGATATTGCTTGAATTGTTTCATGAAAGGTTTCAATGCTGTTTCAACGATCTGCATTCTTCTAAATTGCAAACAAGTGCTGTGCCCTTTGTTCCGCTTTCGCTTTTGGAGTGGCGTTAGAAAGATCCTGTAATAAATGCTCGTTCTAATATTCAACACTGCAAGGGGGCAAGTTATGCGTGATATTTGCTCGAAGAACTGGATTTCTAGAGTATGCCCTCACGCAAAAAGTGGTCACTGTAATCTAATTTTTTACGTATCGTTGACTCGTCTAAAATATATGTTGGGAATCGAAGAGTGCAAAACTGGACTACTTCGATTTAAAGTTTTTTCTTCTTTTTTTAGCGTGTCATGGAACACTTTTTTCCCCTATTCAATCTAGCGTGATTTTAGTTATCACCATCACCATCACCACTATTATCATAATAACGTGAGTTTGGTAATGTTGTTTTCTCGATAATTAAAGAGCTTACTTGCAATGTGACGTGTCTCACAGAAATACAATTTTCCAGGAAAAGAAAGAATACAAATTCAGCTTTATAGTTCAATATGGGATTTAGTGTTTTTCTGATGCCGTTAAACGTAAGAAAACGACATGTTTTGAATCCAATATGTGGCAACATAATGGAGAAGCGTCTTAAGAATATATTGATACGAAAAACTAGATAACTAGCGAAAGTGAAGAAACATGTCTTAAGAAATAAGCTCTTGAATTTTGTCTACGGTCTAACAATATGTAGTTTTAACGATTCTCATGAGCATTTTCGTTAAACGATCAAACCCTTTGTACGATGCGAGTCCGCCATTGGGAGGCGAAGAAGCAGCAGCTGCTGTGTGGGGTAATTTTTTATTTGTGTATAATTTACAATTTGATTACCTTCCCTCTTAGTGGTTTGACGAGGTAGGTGCGAGTCCCTGAGCTACGCTCGTACCTAGATCGTCTTACATTGATCTTTAGATCGCCAGCTTTTTTTATGACATTCATGTTTTATATTTCCCTAAACCTTCGAAATCTGCGCGGGGTCAGCGGCTGATGATCGTGTGCTTGTGTGTGCGCAGGTGCAGCCGGTGCCCGAGCTGTGCGAGCTGACGCGGCGGTCGGCGCAGGACGGGTCGGCGGTGGAGCTGGCGGACGACAACATCCGCGGCGGCACGCTGCGCCGCTCCGGCAGCCGACGCTTCCGCGCCGCCAACACGGTGAGTCCAGCACTCCGCTCGCACTCGCGGTCCCGAACGCGCCACGCGACTGAACTGGACCTTCACTAAACGTAAAGAGCGACGAAAAGTCCCTACACCAATGTCGTTAGAATGGCGGGTGATTTTTGTGAAGTTCGTATGATCCACTTTCTGTGGGACCATTTTGAGCCAGAAAACTCGTAAATATTCGATTGAAACATAGTGGTACTTCAAGGTCACGAGCTGGAAGGAGAAAGGGATATTGTCATACATTCGAGATTACATACTCCAATACCAAACATTTTAAGTAGCAACGAAGCTCTCGATTGGATGACAGTGTCTCCCCACCCTTCTTCGTCCAGCTCGTGATCTTGATTTACATCTATGTTTCAATCGGAGTATAGGCATAGATGCCACCTCAGGCTACGGACTTCGTCAGGGCGAAATGTTTTTCGCGTTTTCAGAACATTTCGGCTTGAGGGACGTTGCAGCATGACGGCCGTAACCTTTGTGCCTAGGACGCGTCGTCTCCGAGACAGTAAAGCACATAATAAACATGAAATCGTCTCTCCAGAATATCTGCGTAGGTTGGATCGTAAGCTACTCTGCACCAGGTAAAAATTTGCAGATGTTATATTATTGGAGAGGATGCAAGGAAACATACATTCGTAAAGTCTAGAGAATATCTGGAGCACGTCATGGGATCACACTTCCTCTCTCAGCATGCTCATTCACAGTTGTAGGACTTCCGAGTGTACTGCACCAGGATAGTATTCTATCATTTGATAGGAGACAGAAAAATATACTCTCCGATGGCCTCGAGAATATTTTAAAAATGGCGAGTTTTCCGCTCTTAACTCGCCCTTTCACAATAGAGTGGCAATTGGATTACTGTGCGCTAATGACAGTTATTTGACTTTCTTCATTAAAGATGAGAAACGATGTCTGAAAATATGGGATAATTCTTCCGCATACGACTCTTCATTTACACCATCGTCTTACTTTATTGGGACGTTTGGGATGGAAACTGAAACGCATTTTTCGATATCTACTTGACCTTAGGGCAACTATTTCACTCAGGGCACAACTTTAATGTCTGACTGTTGTCAGATGACATGGTGTGGCGGGGATGGAAGGTGTACTATTTAAGGGGCACACATCTAGGGGTAGAAAGCGAACGCGTCCGTGAGGAGTACCTCGAGGTCACGGCGAGTCCCCTCCTTAACAGATCGTCGCTTGCCCTACGCAACATACGTGATAGGGAGCGCTCTTGAAGCTGCAGTTATAGCAAAGGGTTTTCTTGTCAGAAAAAGTCGGAATATTTTCAACTAGCCTCAAGGTCTCTTTACTAAAATAATAGAAATTACGGAAGTGAAAGATAAAGGCCGAAGAGATGGATTTATGGCTGAAATTTTGTCGATTGACAAGGCTGGATAGAGTTAGCAATAGTGATGTAAGAGGATAAATGGGTATTGTTATGATAGAATCGAAGGCACATTTTTAAAACTTTATTTCATAACAGTGGAATTACCACTTCACAAGTAAGTATTAGCTTTAATTAAAATCAATAGTGGCTCGAAGTTAAAAATAATTGTAAATCATCGCACAATCATATCTCTTTTTCTGAACGAGGACATCCCCACTGGGTACCTCTATGATTGTTTTTGTTAATTTTGTGAAATTTGATATAACACGAAAGTAAGCAAGATATATATAGAGAGAAGTAGAACCAAAATTTCTCTTACGTATGGCAGACGGAATTTAATTCTTGTAAGAGCAACGCTTGTGTTCCTGAGGTTAAAATGGCTAGTGGAAAGGTCAGTTAGGAGGTTAGAATACAGTTTGGACGACAGTAAGGAAGTGTAATTTGTAGTTGGTTCTATGTCTAGTTCTCTATAAAGTTGTCTATCGGTTATATAACATGGGACCTTGGTAATTGTAAGAAGCATTTTATTCTGGGCGGTTTGCAAGGGTTTCTAACGGAAGAAGCTGCACTCCCCAGATGGGGGCTGCATTAGTTATTGAGGGTCTTAGGACTAAATTGTAAAGAAACAGAGAATTTTAAGATTTCAAACATGACTTTTGTTAATAAGAGGGTATAACTTGAGTAGGGCTCCGTAAGTTTTATTTAATCTAGGCGTGGTTTGCATGTGAGACGAGTATCCAGAACGACGCCCAGGTATTTGATTTATTTATTTGAAGGGGTCGATGAAATCGGGTAATTATTTATTTTTAAAGGGGCAAGGATATTTGTTCTTCGCGAGGTAAACATTTTGATTTCGCATTTTGAGGGGTTTAGCTGCAATCACTATTTTTTGTCCATCCAGAAGTGGTATTTAAGTCTTGTTGCAGGTGATTTATTGCTTCAACGATTTTTTAAAGATTGGATGTTAAGATTGCTCGTATCGTCAGCATAGAGAGTGGTACCACAATTAATATTTCAGGAATATCTGCCGTTAAAATATTAAAAAGGGTTGGAGAAAGTGGAAACTCTTGAAGAACGCCAGCTAGACTTGGGGTTGGTAAATTATATATATATAATATTATCCAAAAAATATTTGATTAATTGGAATCGATATTTCGGGAGTATTAGTTTACGTACTTTAAATAATAATCCATTGTGGCAGACTTTATCAAACGCCTGCGCGAAGTCTAAAAAGGCTGCTACGCAGAATTATTTACGCTGAAAAACTAGAGCAATTTCTTCAACAATTCTTAATAATTAATCGAAAGGATTAAACTGTAATGGACTTGTATAACTAATGATCGGTAATAGATGAACAGCCCTAATACAAATAGAAGAAAAAGAGTTGGACGTAAAACGCCTGGCAACAAGAAATCAGAGAAACGTTGGAAAACTAGTCCCACAGCAGGTTATTGAAATGATAGATGGAATTTAGGCTACAGAACAGACGGCATCAGCCGCAGACCACCCGTTATTATTATTATTATTATTATTATTATTATTATTATTATTATTATTATTATTATTATTATTGGCCAATTTTAATTGTCTACGTCTGCGCCCCGCTTAGCTGACATAATGCAGTAGGCAACCTTTGTGACACCAAAGTATGAAGGGTTGCATTCAATCAGAATTATTCCTTTGGAAGAAACATTTACTTATCAAGTTCATTTAATGTACCTTATGAAGTCCAACCTATCATAGCCATCTGTGTTCTTTCCCCCCTCCGCATGTCATTGCTATTGAAAGTGCACGTCTTTACAAATCCCTGTGGACAACTCCTTTTTATTACTATAACCGTTCCTAGAGCCAGAGTGGATATCTGTCATATACTAGAGGGAGACGGATAAATTATGTAACATATTTAATTTTTATTGAAAATATTATTGCTCCAGTTACTTCATAACTGTTTTGTTGGTAAATAAAAATAGGATAGAATTTCCTCAATATTTCAAGTTAGATACTAGAAATATTTCAATTGCTGTTTTGTGATTACTTGAAATATTTTTTTTTCTTTTCGGGGGTTTCATTTTTAAGGTGCTTTCTCCTGATATTTTTCTCAACCGTTTCCTCCAACCATTTCCCCATATAATGAATTTCTAATGAAGGGGGAAGGTTCTACAACTAGTGACATTTTTAATTTAATTCTTTGCATTTGTAGCGGCAATGGAGATCGTTACATGCTCGTGCGTAAATTACTTTCCTTGAGTTTATATCCGAGATTTACCGTTATCGTCACAGTTATTGCAGTGTAATTGTGCAATATAGATTTTATAACGCTGCAAAGAAAGTGGACCGGAATCTTGGTTGTTTATTGGCAGCTTCATTTCGAGACGCTTTCCTGATATTCATGACATCATACGTAAAAATGAAAGAACAAAAGAAATTGCTTCTTTAATACACCTTCATTGCATTTAACAGTAACGTGGATACATCATCATTGCTTATGATTCGAAAGCCTTCTGTTTGTACAAGTGCCTTATCGAATCTGAATACATCTTATTAGTGGTTGAGATCCCTGTTTTCTTATATATCTTTAGTGTCGTGCTGTGATAGAAACACCGATGCCCTACCAGTTGTCAGAGGCAAATAAATGTTATTAACGGTATATTTTTCAAATCAGTACATAAAGGAAAGAGTGTTGGTATTTTTTGTGCAAAAAGTTCAGGCTGTAGATGTTGCTTGGCCGTGCAACACTCGCCCACCCTCGAAGCGGCTGGGGTGGCGGAGGATGGCTCGAGCCTTTCGTCGCTCGCAGCGTTTCCTCCTCGACGCCCGCACCCTCCACTCGAGACCCTTCCCCCCTCCCTCCTCCACCCCGGCTCCGGCTCCGGCTCCAACGCCTCAGAGACACTCCTCTCGAAGGGGAAGTCGAGGGGCAGCGGGCGGGATACGGGAAGTGGGCAATGGGCGAACGGTTGAGGATGAGATAGGCAGGAGGAGGGAGAGTAAATGTAGGGAAACTAAGAGAGGAGGAGGATAATGAAGGTCATAGGGGTATGAAAAGAGAGTGTGAACGTGTAGAAGAGAATAGAAGAAATGGAATAATGGAGGAGATATGAACGAGGAATGGTTGGAAAAGAAAAATGAAATCGGAGATGGAGTAAAAAGGAGTGAGTGAGTCGAGGGAGCATTCCACGATTCTTCATATTTAGTTCGAATAGTTATGGAAATACAGTAAGTAAAAAGAATGGGAAGACTGAAATGAGGATGGAAAAGTAAGAGAAAGGGAGAAGGAAAGAAGAAAAAGCGGAGGAAAGAGTGGCAGATAAAGAGATGAGGAAAAACAAGCGAAAGGGTAAGACTGCAAAGGCGGGAGAAAGGAGAAGAGAAAGATTGTGATCATCGTAGCTCGGGAAGGCGATGGTTTGATGAAGATGGGAAGTAGGTAAATTAAGTTAGAAAAAAGGTAAATGGAAGGCGTGCATAATATGCATAAATTGAGGTAGAAGATGAAGGCGAGAGGTGGAGGAGTAGTGTGAAGATGAGGAAGCAAAGAGAGGATGAAGGGAAGAAAAGTGGGGAAGGAGGAGGGGAATAGGAAACTGAGGAGTGA